TCGCTCTCGCCGGGGGCCACCGTACCGAAGGCGTCCGCGCGACGAGCCAGACCAGCCGCTACGCAAGATGGCTGTGTGTCGCTGACGGGTGCCCGACAAACCGGACAGGGGTACAGACAGTCCGCGGATAAGCGGAACATGCGGCTACGTGACCGTCGGGCCCGTCCCTGAAGAGAGAGACACTGGCCAAGAAGCGAGAGGTGAGTACTGAGTGAAGCGGTACATCTATGTGTCTTATGTGTATGAGTGTATGTACATGTGTGTACGTACGAGTGAGTTTCTCTCTGCCGTTTTTCGCCGTCTTTCTCTCTCTCTCTCTCTCGATTTATCTTTCTATTTGTCCGTCGGCAGACGATTTTCCATGGTCGCTTATTCGCTCGGTCGCTTGCTCCTTATTTTCTCTTTTTTTTTCTTAGTCTGCTTTTTTTCGGAGTATACTCCGGAGTAGAATCGGAGTTTCTTCGATGTGACTAACGTGGACCAATTGGAGTCAGACGGAGGTAAAACGTTAAATGTCCGTTCCTGGCTCACGTTATACACGGCGTGCACGTTGAACGCTAACGACTGACGAGCGAGCGAAACTATACGTGTTATGGACTCTACCGGCATCGTCGTATACGAGGTAAAAATATAATACACGCACACGTACGCGCGCGCACTACGTGGCCGAAAAGTATAAACAAGAGAGAATCTTCTCCTCGTCCCGGGTGTCTTCTTTAATGACGTCGATCGCGCGCTGGTCTTCGGAAGTTCGCGATAACAGACCAACCGACCCGACCACGTATCTCTCTTTCTCTTCCTTTCTCACGCAAAGTTGTCCGTGTTTCTCGTCTCCCTCCCTCTCCCTCTCTTTTTCTGTCTCTGTCTCTGTCTCTGTCTCGTGTTCTTCTTGACCGAGACCGAAAATTCACTCATCATTGGGAATCTTCCACGACGTAGATAGAATCATACCTCATGCTCGGTATCTTGGTGAGGTTTTCGCGCATTGATAACGACCTGTCTCTTCTTCTTTCTCTATCCCCGTTACCCTTCTCTCGCATCCGCAAAATACACTCGCCCTCTCTCTCCCGTCTCTTTCTTTGCACATACACACATACGTACTCTTTCTCTCTCCCCAGCATACGTCTGTTTGGCTGGCAGTCTATCAGTGTCTGTACTTTGTCGGTCCGCACTTTCCCCCGTACCAGGCTCCGTCCTGTCGATTGAATAGCTCCTACTATGGCTCCTATTCTATACATGTATGCTGTACAATCGCGGAATGGGAAAACCGAGACCCTGGAAACATCTGTCGACCGGAGGCCGACCTAACCTCCAAAACTGTGGGAAGCCTATTATCGTCATCGTCGCACGTTTTATTTTTGAACGCGCGAGCAACCTGATCCAGCTAAAAAGCGTCTTACATATTACATGTTATTTCATATACATATATTTGTTCCGGAACAGAGAACCATCCCCGCGTGAAACTTTTACGAGATACTCCGTCTTTCAACTTTGTCGAAAGCGATGGAGTTTTTCGCTCTCGGTCACTCTCTTCGATGTAGATCGACTCCTCCGGGTATCTTCGCTCTCCTCGGAGGTCGGTGAGAGCGCGACAAACGCGACTGAGAGGAGTCGAGACGAGAAAACGTCGATCACGATGTTGTGTGCCTTCAGTAGGAAAACGTCAATGCCAATGGGCTTTCCTTACGAGTCGATTGGTTTTCGACGTAACCTAGACATCGCGAAAGCATTCCTACGTTGTGCGCGAATTTGCGGTGCCGATATGGGCGTAACTGCATTAACCGTGGAATGCCACTCGTATTTACACTGTTTACACACACTCATATATATATATGACACTCGTATTACTCTATTGCTCTAGGATGACAATTCACCTACAAATTAAGAATTTTTTACTTTACTTTTCGTCTACTTTATAAGTTGCAAAGCGGTGGAAATGTATACAGTTTTTCTGTATATACATGTGTACTGACAATGAGAAAAATGTTTGATTGAAAATGGACAAACCAGCAGATTCTAGTTGAGATGATTTAATCAGAATCTTCTGATTGTGCCTGTCTATTTTCAATCAAACCATTTTTCTCAGTGCACATCCAATTATTGTTTAGTATTCTTATTAGTTGTAACAATAATATTACGTAAATAGATAAGAATTTGATAAGTGTTTTATTCAATAGTTGAAGCAATTTTCCTGATAAAAATATATGCAACTTGCGTAGACATTTGCGTTGTCATTATCTAGTATATTAATAGATTATTATTAGTTAAAATACTGCTTATTCATCTATTGTTCTCATTTAATAAATGAGTTCAGGTTTTGCTAGCAAAGCATTACATTCTTCACTGAGATCCTAAGTAGTTCTACTTTTTAGTTACTAGGTAGATATTATATACGTAACTGTTCAAATAATTGCTCAAAGCATAAAATTTCTACCAGGAAGTGTTGGAATAACTGAACTGAGACACTATTTTAATTACAAACAAAATGAACTTTCATATGTTGAATACTTTATCTAAAACTCACTTTAAACGATCTATAATTCGCAACCAAATTTAAGATAAAATCCTACTTATAATTTTATGTGTCACACATCCTAAAAGTAAATGCAAATCCTGATATATATTTTGTATATATGTGAATTTTATTTCTTTAAATATTTTCTATGTTACACGACACGTAAAATTACAAATAGAATTTTGTCCCGAATTTGGTAGCGAATAATAGAAATCATCTAAAATGGGCTTTGTAGCAAACATTTGAATTAGCATTTAAATTCATTTATATAATAAAGAACTTTTTTATGCTCTCTTATCTTTTGCTTTTGAACTGAAAATTGTAAAATTTACATTAAAAAAATATTAAGACCTTTGATCGAATAGGTGTTTATTTATATTGGACATTTCTCGGTTGATTTTTACCTACTATCTTTTATCGATAAGATATATGTCGAATAACTGAACTGACAATTGTTAGGTTTATTTAACTTAAAAAAAAAAGTGAACTTTAATGTTAAACAATCTATCTAATACTTGAATTAGATAGAGTTAAGAAACTTTCGTCATTGGCGATGAATTATTCACAGTTTCCGTCACTGCTCTTTATTCTTTTCTTTCTCTCCTTCTCCTCTCTTCCTTTCTTTTTCTGTGTTACATTCAGAGATAATTATTAGAGATAAATCGCATCAGTTTCTTTATACAGTAGTTTTCTCCGTGTGGAAATGTACTGACGCGCGCGACGGAACTGATTTCGAATACAGAACATTCTCTCGGCGCGACATCGAATTTCAAATCGCCGGCAACACCATTTTACACAATCGTCGGAATTGCGTCCCGCATTCATTCTTTCCACGCGCGAGTTCCTCGATGCATCGCCATCAGTTTCTTACATAAATATTCTTCGCGGATATCGATAGCGAGCATGAATAACCTGATCGTGAAGCGTCAGCGAGAAAACGCCATCGGGACTTATTTAGACTTTTTCACGCGGGAATGATTAGAACCCGCGACTTCATCTTGGCGCGGCTCCGCCTTACAACTTACAACGAGCCACCGGCTGACGCATTCTTATCCTCTCTCGTCGATTACGATCGCTGTATTTCGATCGTCTGCGTAACTGATCGTTCGCATTGAGAACGTCGAGAATACGTTGAGAACTTTGCGAGTAAAATTGTAAATATATCGCGAGCGAGACGGATACCGGAATCCGTTTGGAATCCCTCGGTCGTTGCTGTCTTCGCAGGAAAATCCGATTACCATGACGCCGTATTTTTTATCGCTTTTCGTGGCGTTTTTTTTTTTACACTCGGTTAGCTCCTCTCGAAACATATGTCGCTCGTTGGTCGACGTAAGTCGCGTCGCGAACGTCTTTCTGGATCGCGATTCCCTCGCGTCACGCTATCGCTCGCGATTGCCTGCTACTCGGTACGTTGTCCTCGTCGGGTCTAACGATCGTGGTTGTTAAATCGCGTACGTGCACGTACATACGACATGTATACATGATAAAAAAGACTGGTAATAACAGTTGATCAAGCCCAGATGAGTTAGTTACTAAAGCTTTGAAATAATTTCAGTTAAAAAAATGTCTCTGTTAATATAGCTAAAACCAAATACATTAATTTTGCATATATATGATATGTATACTGAAAAAAAAGATTGGTGATAATAATTAAATCTATAAATGATAGTTACTACAGTTTTGAAATAATCTCTGTCAAATGTTTTGTTAATGTAACTAAAACCAACTATAAACATTAATTTTCTTTTTCATCCACACGTGGACCGAAAAAAAAGTCTGGTAATAATAATCGAGCCTAAATGGTAGTCACTTATAACTTCAATAAAATTTCGGTTAATTCTTTGTTTGCAATCTGAATCTTTTTTAGAACAAGCGAAATTTTTACTCTCAAAATTTGCCCTTATTTTTGCTTATGTTCAAATTTCAATTTTTATGAAATAAAGGTTTTAACATTTCAATTAAAAAAAAATATTTGCTTATGTAATAGAAGTGTTAAAAAATAATCCTGAATTTTTGAAAACTAGAACAATAAAAAAATTTAAGCTGGATAAAAAAGACTCACAATCACATTACAGATGGAGGATTACAACTAAAATCAATTATAAACGGAATTTGTTCTTTCCTAAATATTACCTTTTCTAATTATTATCAAACAATTAATTACTATTATATCTACTATTTATTAATATTTACTAAATATTGCGCTAAACAAAATACATTTGGTATCTGTAACCAGACTTTTCTTTCAGTGCGTGTGCAAATGTATGCATGCACGCACGAGCGTGCATAGTTTTGATAAAAAAATGTATATATATCGAAACTCGCACAGTGAATATCCGTATAATATTTATTCTCCTATCATGTATATACGTATCTACGCTAAGAGAAAACTTGGTACCATTGCATGGTAATAAAATCATGATTAAGAGCTCCATTTTTATAATTATTACTGCTATACTGTTAGCAATAATAATTATATTCATAGTTTACAAAAAAAAGTACATAGATTGAGAGCGGAAACGACTACAAATAGTAAATTATGGAAACCCTTTCTTTTTTTTCGGTGTACACTTAACGATTTCGTCACCGTCGAATGTACACCGCGCGTATAGCCGTAAAACTCCGCGATCGAATCTCGGCTCCGGGAATCGTCGGTATATCGACGACGAGAAATCCACTCCATACATATTCTGCCGTGTACGCGTGTGTGTTGATTTTTGGGCACACCCCGTATATGCGCGTGGCTGGCGTAGCCTCCAGTGGCATCGGGCATCCACAGTGCTCCGACCGTTCCGATGTGGGTATATCTCCCTATACCTGGCCATTAGCATGGAGAGCCCGTCGCCCTTCGTTTTCGGCGATGGCCATTGTCCTGGACGTAGACCCGGGCTTTCAAGTCCAGTCTCGTTGATGCGCGCCGAAATAACGCGTTGGGGTCGTCGGGGAGTGCCCCAACCGAGAACCGAGAACCGAGAACCGAGAACTGAGAACCGAGAACCGAGCGCCGTGCCGTAATTAGCAATTTTGCGAGGAGGCAGGCCTCAATTCGGTAAGGGCTTATCGATTCGCTCAGCCGGCGGCTTACGTTTCGTAATTCGCCTCGGGTTTTGGCAGCTCATCGTACCGTTGCAGCGTTGGTCTCTCTCTCTCTCTCTCCCCCCGCGTTAATAGTATAGGGCGGAAAACAAAGTTGTTTCCCACCCGAGTGAGAGAAACTGTCGCCAAATGTAGTCACGCTGCAAATAAAACACTGCAGAGACTTTTTATCATCGCCCTGTAATAATTAATACGAATTGCTATTTGCCACCTTCCCGTTTCCCGAGACTTGCAAAATCGAGCACGCTGAGAGAAAAGTGTTTCGTGTTTATGACTAATAATTGCACGGTGTAAAATAATTCCGGAGTTAGGAGCTTCATTTTTATAGTTATATAATAGACATTAGTTATATAATATTAGTATTAATAATTATATTTACGAGTATATCGTTCTGTAGTAAAAAAATATATAATTAGCACTGAAAGTGACTACGAATTATAGGAAACACATTTCTCTCAGTTTAGAGCGGTAAAATTACGCAGACAAATATATCTGCTTATCGAGCCAATAATTGCCGAAGCAGTTTTTATTGTACTCTTACTCGTTCATTGGCACGTTTTGTCATTCCGAACACGAATACGAGATATGATGTGATATATAACGATTCCGCGAAATCGCGCGCGAGATACAATCAGCCGAAGCGTGGAATTTTTTATGTACATGTGCATTTCAAAACTACAAGCAGTGTTTGGAACGGCTCGCTGTGAACTTCGCGAATTTCGCAAACGCGGCTCATCCGAGTACGACTATGTTTCAGACCCTGCCATTTGAAAAATACGAATGCGCACAAAAAGGATTTGTTGAAGTATTTAAAAATTTTGTTACATACAGATTGAAAATCTGCTTTTGTTGAATTATCAAAATAATTATTTAGGACGCTCCAGCTGATTGCTAAAATATTAAAATTTTTTGCAACATTTTTCATTATATAGTATTTGAATTTTCTACAGAATTATTTCGGATAAAGCGACATTTTCTTCAGATCTGTATTTAGTTAAATTTTTAGACATTTTAGTAAAATCGTTCTTTCCATGTACATATGATTTCTCATGGAGGATCATTCGCGGATTTGCACACGCCTCTCCGAATTAAATCGTTTACACATTTTGATATTCTACTTAACGTCGCTCGACCGGTAGCTTTTCACCTACTTTGCATACGCGCGTTAATTTCCATGTGGCGACTGGCGTCGCGACGACGTTGATGCTGCAATCCGTACGGAGATCCTCTTTAATCCTAGAACTCTCGATCCTACTTGATCCCAGAAAGAAGGGCGAGTATGATAAAAAAAGGGCTACGTACTCCTTATCCCGAGCTATGTATGATTTTTTTTTGTTTCCGCCTGACGAAGGGCAGATACAGGAAATTATAGCTGGGGGCTCTCTCTCTCAGGGCCATTATCTGAAATCACAGGTAATAGCCGAGTATTCAATATCTATACGTTTTTGAATACCCATTAGTTTGCATACAGACGGAGAAAATGCCTCGAATGACAGTACTATTGTGTAATCATATGATCGCGAAATGACAATGCGCGCTCTACGTTTTTCTTCTTTTACATTACTTTTCAGAGAAATATCTGAAATACGCCATTTCCGCGTTATTTTATCGCGCATTCGTGTAATATTCGAAACGATCGAGTATCAGCACAATATAATTGATAAATAGCTAAAATTAATCTTTAGAGGGTGGCGGTCTATTTTTTAAAGTTATTTTCTTTAAATAAGATTTATTGTATAATTCTCTCATTGTGTATTTTACATTGCAATTAAAAATTATTATTATTAACAATATATTATTGATTATTTTCGAATTTATTAGTTTTTAATATTATTATGGATATGCATTTGCTTACAATTTTCTAAAAAAAAGTAAATAGAAATCAAACAAAACGTATTAAACAAATGAAATAAGTGCATTAAGGAACTTATTATGACAATATTTCTAAAAAATAAAGATGGAGTGATTATGTAATAAAACGCTTTCTTACTGCGGATTCCATGAAATTGCATATTTAAAAGTTCGTTAAAGAATACTTCTTAAAAAAGAAAGAAAACAATATCTATTTTACAACATTTCACATTTTCTCGCCGATGGGATGTATTATTATATAAAAACATCCCAGGGGACTATTCCCGGGTTAAGAAAAGGATGTATGTAAAAACTGGAAGCCATCCAAAGCTGAGGGGCAGGATTAAATAAAAATAATAACAGAATATATACATATAGACGCGAGCTCGAGAAACATTTGAACATTGGAACATTTTACTTGTGAGAGTTTTTAGTTTTCTGATTACGCGGGTAACTTTTCCGAAGTTTTGCTTCGTAAAAAAGTGGATTCTAATGGAATATATACGTTTTGTAGTCTCGATCCTCCAAGTTATTTTTTTTTTCCATCCAACTTGGCCTTTTACTCTCTCTTTCTCTTCATTTTTTTCTCTCTTTCTCACTTTCTTTCTTTCAATCTTTTTCGAACGAACCTCACGATACACTATACATGTGCAGGCATTTCAGAACGCACGTTGTCTGTCCGTTAGAGCATTTTTGTGCAGGCTGTTCTCCTTCACGGCGATGCGTGTGTGTGAATGCGTCGAACTTACCTGCACGCACGCACGCACGCACGCATCGTGTCGGAGTAATGTTGCACCGGCTGCTAAGCGATGACACGTCACGTCTCGCCGAGGGACTGGATTTTACCACGAATTTTAGCTGCATAAGTCTATCTTCTAAGATTGGCGACTGTCCAAACGTTAATCGCCTCAATTTTGCTTCAACGCGCATTAAAAAATGTACATTCTCATGAAAGTCATTCAATACTAGATTTTTAACTCGACGCCTGATTTAGTTACGTTCGATTAGATTAAATCATTTAACGTGTGATGAAATTACTGATTGCACTAACATTATTAACGCTACGGATAATTGTTTTATAAATTCTCGTTATTGTATATAATAGGAATTATTCCGTACGTACAGAGAGAGAGAGAGAGAGAGAGAGAGAGAGAGAGAGAGAGAGATTTTATATTTTCCAGGTTGTCGAGTTGTTTTTGTTACATAAAAGCGTGAATTCCGATTTCACCGTGATTCGGAATTTCGGTTCCTAAATTTCGATTTACGAAAAAAGCGTACGATTCTTCTAACAAAACGAAATATCGAAATTGTTGCAGAATGTAGTAATCGTAAATTGTATCCTCGTATCCTTGATACACCCTAGAAGCTCAACGGAAGAAAGGATATCCTTTTTGGGCTATAATGACGCGTCGACGGAATGTTTCCCCTCTCGCAATATTCTACGTTAACTCATGCCCAGCTCCGCAAGTCATTATTACTGGGTGGAGGGTTTTCTTAGCTTCCCCCATTCACAATGGTCTGCGTCGCCTTCGTTTGAAATCCGCCGAATAAATATATGTCGACGGAATCGACAAATATATGTCGACGGAAAGTATCTCCTCTCCTGTTACGAGGAGGTGGCTGTCCTGTCCTTCTATCGTCCGAAGGAGTTTGATCGATATATAAATATTCGTTCGGTCGCAGGCGAGGAACCTCGTCATAAAATCATGCGATGTTTCGAAGGTACTCCTTATAGAAATTTAATACTGGAAGATAATGATTAAGTATTTATGTTGAATATTGAGTATTGTTGTTCGGTGCTTTCGATATTCAAAGTAAATAATTAATCGTGGAATGCTATTTATATATATATTTTTTTTAGGTTAACATTACTTTGGATAACATTTCGTGCACTTTCAACAGTTACTAAACAATTGTATTAACTTTGTTTAGTAAATGGAAAGTAAAACTGCTTAGTATCCCAATCAAGATGTTAATGTTTTGCCCGCAGTTACTGCGCATAAAGATGTCAAAATTTGAATCCATTTACTGAATAAAAATAAGTAAATTACGCAGTATTTTAACTAATAATAATCTATTAATATATATAAGATAATGATTGGACGTTTTTGTCTACGCAAGTTGCGTATATTTTTATCACTAACGTTACTTCGCAGAGTCGCTGAATAAAACTCCATCAAATTCTTATCCATTTCCTATGCAGTATTGTTACAACTAATGAGAATACAATGATATTAGATAGTATAATTGAGTGGGTGATTAGGAAAATTGCATACATTTCTCATCAGGGAAATTCACTCACATAATTGAGAATTTCTTTATACTTTTTTTTATGTCTATTTTATAGGTTATAAGATATTACCGAGAAAAAAAAACTTAAATATTTATTTGTGATAAAGATTTATTTGATTTATGTACCTACCTAATGTTTATTTCACCGATATAAAGTTTTATTTAAATACGGAGAAATAAAATTTTATTTCTAGTAAATAAACCATCTATTTTTTTTACAATTAATGAGATATATTTCATAGAAATGTATATTCCGTTATTACAGTCATTTTTTGCAACCAATAAATATCGAATAACATTATATGTAACGTTTGCTTGTAAATATTTCGACTTTTCTCAATGTACAATAGAATAACGAAACTAACTATTTTTATGGGGAAAAAAACTAACAACTTTAAATAATCTTTTTATTAAACAATTTTACTAAATGTCACTTTATAAGTATTTTATAAGTATTAAAATTTTAATACTCTTTATATAAAAATTATACTCAAAAAGTGAGCGAAAATTAACTTCCAATAGCGTCCCAGAATTAATTAATCATTATCTTTCAGTATTAAATTGGCCAGCATTAAATTGGATTTCCGTATAAGAGACAGCGCGCACATTACGATAACGAACACTGGAAATAACGGCAAAGCGAGCGAACGCGGTTTTTCGTTAAAGAAAAAGAATAACTGACTAAAAAAACTGACGCGCGAATTTTTCTGTTCGAAGCTCGAATAAGAAACATTATATTCTTTTTCGACAAGATTGACGTCATAAGGACGCGCGCGTGGCCTTCCTCATTGTGTGTTAATTCGTATAAACAATTGCTTAATCGCCATCGACCGGTCGGCTTCTCGTCTTCCACGAAAAGTTGCACGCTCTGTGCTTCGACGCGCACACTTTGCGTAACAATAACGAGTCGACGATTTATTCCGCGCGGCCGCACGTTTATTTGCGCAAGGGCGGGTTTACGTAAAAATTATAATTAGATTTCACGAAGAGAGCGAAGACGAGGTGTTGACGAATGCGAACCTTTAATTTTTTTTTATACGACTTACGAGACACGTACTATAATACATGACTCGCTGCGATACAACGATATCTGTTCGTTCACGCGAGACAGCTATGATTAAGCCTTAATGAACGCGGTCGCTTTCCGAAAATAGAACATTCGATTCGAACTACCGCAACCTGTTCCTCCGTTCTCTAGTCGAGCGTCAGCTCTTGAAATGTTCTCTTGAATTATTAAGAAGAAGCTATAGAAACGAACGTATCTACTGGAACGGTATCTTCCATGAGAAAGAATCGAGCGGCGCAAAATACGTTTTTTAAAGATATAATTAAAGTCTTATCTCTAAACAGTTTTAAGGCCACATTTTTTAAAACGCGGATTACATACTGCAAAGTCCAACAGCTTTCCGTAGATAACGAGTATAATTTCTGTTTCCTAGAAGTAGTTAAGACGATTTCGGATGCATACTGCGGGCAACCGCGTCGCCGATATGCAGTCTTTATCAGAAGATCCGGTAGAACCACGGCGGATTACGTTACGCGGTCACATTTGCATTTAGGCGCGAGTATATTTACGGCGCACCGTTCGCAGAAAGATTATATTCCGCTCCCTCGATTGTTGGCCGATGCCGTTTCTCGAACACGTTGCGCAAATGAAGCCTAATGCACGTCCAATTTGTCGGTGTACTTTTGTCACGCGGAGGATTGCCGGTTATAAATACGGTGCGTAATGTCGGACGTTTATGCTCGCTCCATTAGACGTTAATTTACAAGCCGAGGCTTAAATCTTAGAATTAGTACAATGAATGTCGCGATTAACAACAGAGCGCCAACAGCGGCATGAATTTTTTCTGGCGTCATACGTTTAATTTTTAGTCGAATTTCGAACGATATATCGCGTCGCATCGCGTTTTATGTTACGTTACGTTACGTTACGTTGCGTTGCGTTGCGTTGCACTGCCGATGATACTCACGCGAATATCGATATTTCCGCCGCTCGGCGATATGCTCTCGCTTCGATACACTTTTAAAAGCGACTTCTCGCAGATGTGTCGTGGTACATACATATTGATTATGTGCTATCAATGTACGCGGGGTGGATGCATCAGTGAATGACCGGTCACCGGTGCATGACCGCTGAATCTTTACGTTTACTTCTGCGGTCACGTGAAATGACGTGGTTCCGTCTCTTCAAAATGTAAATATAATCGCAGCGCAGAAAGAACGGTTTTGAAATATCTAAAAATATACCTAGATATAGATCTGAAACTAGTATTGTTAGAAACCATCAAAACCATTGTGTAGGATGTCCACAATCCGATTGCTAGAGTGTTAAAACTGTTTGCAGGATTCGAAGTGCTTAAGTGTTCTACATGGTTATACTTTGATGATCCAACAAAATTATTTTCAGATCTACGTCTGCCTAGATTCTTAAATATTACGTCATTTAAAAAGTATCTGCGGTTTTTTGTTCAATTTTTGAATGAAAAAATACCGCGGATACTTTTTAAATGACCCAATATTTCAGTAAAATCTTCTTTCCATTCTAAGATTCCACGTAAAGAACACTATTGTTCAAGTATCTGAACATTTTAACTAGATAGAGATCTGAAAATAATTTTGTTAAAACCATCAAAACAATTATGTAAGATGCTTAAGCTGATTGCTGGAATGTTAAAACTTTTTGCAGCATCGTCGTCAACGTTTAAGTGTTCTACACTACGTAATTTTGATGGTTTAACAAAATTATTTTTAATTTCTGCATATATATCTAGCTAAGTTTTTCAGTACTTTACCAAAACCGTTCTTTTCGTATGCCAGATGTTATATACGAAAGATAAAATCTTAATACGACCAAGGAGGAAGTGATTTTTTTCTTCTTACGAATGAGCTAAAAGAATGTGCGGATAAACATTTTTTTCTCTTACATGCTCGCGAATGTCAAAGGAATTCCACGTGCTTCTCGGTGGCTGAAATACGTAAATAAACGTAGGTTATACATGTACACATATTTACGCGCGCGTCACGAATATCGTACGAGGTGTCTTCTCGCGTTGATTTTGCGGCGTCCTATATTAAGCTCTCCCTACGCATTCACGTGGTAGCAACCTGGAAAAGTGTCACCCTTAAAAATGGATAACCTTTTTATCATATATCGTAGGCGGCGGTTTTTCCTAGCGACACCGCGAGTGTTTTTCTAAAGATAAACTTAGGTGCTCTTTCAGTCTTCCCCATCCAGTGTCTCTTTTTGCGATATTCATCGGAGTGCACTGCCGGGAATCCGAAGCCACGCCATGCCACGACAAGCGCACGAGCACGGATGGCGCATTCGGTATTGCTAAATATTGCTCCCGTAACGATTTTTGAAAAATATTACCTCGGACATTGTAAATCTGTCATCATGTGCCCAGCGAGAGATTAACGTTTTATTTGTGTCCCTTGTTTGTGTACGTTGATTCGCCATAAAACGCAAGCGGCTGAACCTATCTATGTATAGGATGTTTTAAAAGTCCTGCAGAAAATAACACGTCTGAGTCTTTACAAAATAATGGGCTTATAAGATAAATATTGCTTGATTTAAAGATAAAATTTATTGCATTGAAATTTGAGACAACGAATAAATTCGAGTTATTCGTCATTATGAAAAATTAAAAACATTTCTGCATACAGTTGCCTCCGTTTTTTTTTTATTTTTCAGTTTTAAAAAGATTTCGCAAATATAGAGATCGTTACTTATTAAGCGCTTCGGAATCGGAATCCTCTCGAGCGTTAAAAGCAATAAAAAGTAGTTAGCCAACAAAATAAGGAGAGAATTAAGAAATCCAATATATAAAATAAATAGTACGAAGAAAAAACAAAATCAACAAAAATAAAAATAAAAAAACAAAAATTGTGCGTAAAACATGGAATAGGTAACGAAAACATAACATACGCAGAAAAAAAGAATATTCTTGTTTTAAGAATGTTTTTATTTTCGAAATATAAATCTTGAAATAAGATTAAATCAATATAACTTGCTTATATTGAAGAAATTTTAATAAAAAATTAAATCAAGAAAAATGTATTCTTATTATTTAATAATAATTTTCATGATTTGAGAGGAACACAAACAATTAGATAGAAAGTAACAACATTTTGAAATCGGAATTAAAATTTCTTTAGAATAAAATAAAAATAATTTTTGTTTGTGATTATACTCTACTCTTAAAACAAGCTGTTTATATTATTAAATTGTCTTATTAAAAACAAGCGTGTCCATTTCGTATGTAATGTAACCACGAGATGGACGCGCTACTCGTAAAAGGAAAACGCCCAGAAGTCCTATATAAAGAGATATATGCAAATTGAGTTGGTGAGTCTCGTACAGGTTTCCAAGCTCTTGGAAAGTTTTTGGAGCATTTCGGGGCCTCCAAAAGAGACATAACCGTCATAATCATGTATGAAAAAATATTTGCTAGAAATTTGCTAGAAATAGGTATTTATGTCTACAAATCCTGTAGTATCAAAAAGAGTTATTATATTGTTAAAACAAGAATAATTTTTCTTCTGACGCTATATTTCAAATAACTTAATTATGTCCAATAAAACTGTTCGAAGAATTAATAGAAGAAGTTTAACGTATGTATGACGCACACATAAAGATAAAGTGAAAATAACAATTTCATCTTCATCATTTGATTTTTTTAATTTCAAAAGAAAATATTGTACTTTTTAGATGATTGCTACAATATTGATACAAGAATATAATTGCTGAAATTTAAGATTATCCAATTCTTTAAGAAAGATTTTATTGCTTGGATTTGTTGCTAATATATAGGAAAGAATAGAATTGTGTCGAATAAAATATAGTTTTAAATAAATAATTTTTTTTTATGTAAATTTGAGAGAGAAAGAGGAAGATAACGGAAATTGTACTTTCTTAAAAGGTGACCAGAACTGTCGCGTTCACTTTTGCGTCACCTTGTATACGATGTCGCGAGTCCGTCAAGATAATGTGGACACGACCGGTCACTTGGATTTCGCTGTTACTTGGCTACCTCGCAATTTTGTCAGGAAAGTTTTCGCCATTCGGCGAGCAAGCTCGGATTTCCTCGTTCATCAATCGATCGGCTTGACTCATCGCGCGGAATATAAGCGCGGCGCGTGATGCATACCTACGTAGTTGTTCATACACGAACATGCGACCACATGTACACGGGTGCGGGGGCCGCTACAGGGTGACGCAAAGTTTCGTTACTTTTGCGGGGCTGAGTCACCGTGACGCGGTCTGATGAATTACCCCGAACACATTTCCGACGAGTTATTCCACGGAGTTACGGGCTGCTTATTATTTCGCTGAAACGGATTACCGCGATCTCCATTTGCGTTTACACGTTTCCTACGCTTCGCGTTATCGTTGTCGTGTGTTGCAAAATATACGGGTTACATATACAGTAATATATATATGTATGTATATCGTTACATGTATAAGGCTCATGCGTAAGCCTTGCCTATTATTTGATAAAAGTCTATCTATTCTATACTTAAAAGTTAAGTCTTCATAAAAAAAAGACGAATAAATCAATGATTAGTGCGGATTAAACAAAGTTTTAACGAACGAGTGTTTAATGTAATGTGCTATTAATTTCTTTAATTAATGTTTTAGTACTAATGTACTTTAATTAAGATTGGAGAATACGTACGTCTTTCCGTGTACATCACACTGCGTGACATATGAAAAAAAATAATAAGCCGGGCTTACGTGTGACTCACCTTGTTTATTATTTTATAAAAGTTCACGTTTGTTCTGTACTTGAGAGTTTCTCTAAAAACACATACGTGATTAGTACGGAATTATAAAGTTCCAACGGTCGAAAATCTAATATAGTTATTAATCTTCTCAATTAATGTTTCAATACCAATGTTCAATATTAATGCATACTCCGATATTAAAATTGGAGTACGCGAGGAGTACGTCTTTTCGCAACCCTGCACCAAAATACACAACCTTGCGATGGATATTTTTTTACGATTCGCCAGGCGACCTGCATGGTCGTACTACTTGTTTGCACCACTTTATTAGGAACCGACGGGTTTCGAGCCGGTTAACTTAAACGTAACTGTACCTCGTGGTACCGTAGATCGTTCATAATACCGACCAGCATTTCTGACAGTCAGCACTATAATTAGAGCACATCGCGCGGGTAAATGACGGCGGGAACAGTAGAGAGAGGGAAAGAAAGGGGGAGGGAGAGAGAGAGAGAGAGAGAGAGAGATGTGTACTGATAGATAAATACTTATAGATAAATTGAAGAAGGGAGGGAGAACCCGGAGAGGGTAGAATTGAAATCGCGTTGTTTCCGAGACACTGCGGGATTCCGATCGATCGGTTGTTTTTGTACGCCCGGTATTATTCGGGCGGCAACTTCGACTATGAGTCACAAACGTATTGTGCAATACTACGTATCTGAGTGCGATCAGATAGAATTACGCTGTGTTGATATCAAATGAGAAAATGGTACCGCACGCCGTTACAATTAAGGAACCTTTGCGACATTAAGGATACATTACGTATTTTTTATCAAAATGAAAAAATTATGAAAATATTACAAATTTTTCACTACATATTGTGAAAGTAATAATAGGTATTATGCAAAAAGTTTGGCAGTGATTTAGAACCTAAATTAAATTTTTTTCAATAATGAAAACATATTTTTAAAAAATATTTAAGATGAAAAAAATTTTATTTAAATTACAAAATTAAATTGTTAAACTGTTTTATACGTATACAACATTCATTTTTATACAAAAAGTATAAATTTTCGATTTAAATCATCTTTTGCAAAAACTGTATGCATCTGATCTTTCAATTATTAGTCTGAATTTTTTATTTGACGTTGAACTAATTAATGTCGAAAAGCAAATGCTGCGAGCGATAACATTTCGAGCTCTCATTCTTTGTATGGCATGATACGAACACGTCATTTTCACATACAAAGCAATAATTTTCAATGTAGAACGTAGCAGAGCGTACTCACACGTGATCAAGATTTACGATTTTCCGCGATAGGTTGAAGAGCTAAGAAGTTCTTAAAATAGAGAGTTCCGAAACCGACAGGTTTCGAGACATAAAACGTTAATGTATCCGCATGATAAGAGTGTCTAATAGCTTAGAAACGAGCGGCTATGATGGCGAGAATTCTCAGCTATGACGGCGACAAAGCAGCAGAGGATAAAAGACCGTCGTCGAGACGGTTAACCGGTAAGCCTCATGGAAATTGTTTGCTCTTCGCAAACAAACGGTCATACTTATTGGAAAAAACCGGGAAGCGCGGCTCCTCCGATTGTTCGCACTTAGAAATATGATACCTGGCGACTGCTCTTTGAGAATCACTGATCCAAACTAACGACGTGGGCACACGTCGACGAAGAAGGTTTTAAAATATTCATGGTCGTTGGCTTTACTTTTTGTGTTCCCTGCGGTATTTTTTTCCGTCATAGTGGCGTATACTTTTGCGCCGAGGTGTCTTTCAAATGTCCGAGAAAACAGTGTCACTACTTGAATATTTAACATATTGGTGTCGTTTTAATTTTCTGCGATACGGCAAGATGTTTAAGAGCTACTATTATTCTTTTAACAATTAAACGTCTATTATTTTAGCTTCAGTGTTTATGATTGAATTTCAAGTCCAACAGCAATTGGCGCGCATTTAATTTATTTAATTAAAAGATATATTTAAAATTTGTAAGTAAAATTAGACGCCGATGAGAATAAATAGAAGAGCAGGAATCCTATTTTTAGTCAACTGAAAATTTTCGGTCAACCGTTCGACCGAAAATAGAATTCTTTCTTTTCTTTGATTTATTCTTATCAGTTGAAATTTTATTTATAATTGTTTATACACGCTTCTTGAAAAATGACATACTTTTTTAGTTACTGGTTGCAACAAAATCTCTATATATCTTCTCGGTAGTTGAATTAAGACGCTCGCTTAGATTGGAGCAGATTCTGGTTCAAATTTCAGCTGAGGTGATATTTTTTACAATAAATGCTTCGCAGTGTTTTAAAATGTTTATTAACCTTATTATTAAATTGAAGGTCAATGTAATCTGTGATGTTATTTCCAGCTTCAGTTTATCATTACGTTTCAAGTAATCCGACAAATCGGCAGTTTAGAATTGAAAAATATATTGAAACATTTGCATATGAATCATCAAGTACCATGATTCATTTTGATCGAAAATAGGATTTTTTCCTTTTTTATTTCAAATTTATACAGAAACATTATTAGGCACAAAGATTCGGCTTCGACTTCACATTTAAAACTTCTTCCTTATTTGTGTTAATTAAAAAATCTCTATCTGAAAAACCGATATTGTAATAAAATATCGATTATAATATTGAACAAAAATTGAACGTCATAAAGAAATCAATGGACCGCTGACGTTTAACACTAATGAGGTCGTTACTTTCTGATTGCAGGGAATGTGTGACATGTTCATCCAAACACAGCAGACGAGTAGCGTCAACGGCAGCAGCAGCAGCAGCAGCAGCAGCAGCAGTAACAACACCGTTCACCATCCCAGCAAGAAGCGCAAGTTAGATTACAACGTAAGCCAGCCGGTGATCCAGCACGCATTGGTCCAATCGACCAGCGACTACCAATTGGACAATACCGGTCTGCAACAACGGTACTCCGTGAACGGTGCTAATACCGCATTTAGCTCGCTGCACAACAATAATGCGCTGCAGAAGAGTAGCCCGAACCAGCAGACCCTGGTACGAGCCTCGACGATCAAGCTCTTAGACACGTACCAGCGCTGTGGCCAGAAGGTTGGTTTCATGCCACTTCCTATGTTTCTTTTGTCGCCGCGCTTCTAATTGTTCGACGGACAATCCTCCTTTCCATGCCTCCTTGCGTTCCCCGCGTGTCTATACTATGCGTCCGACGCGCTAAATCTGGCCTGTCGACTTCTTGTGTCTCGTCCACTGTACTTTAACCCTTTGTCTGCAATTATATTTTTGTTGTTTGACTTTTCAATGACGTGTGAGCATGATTGATGTACATTTTTACCAACGTGGATCAATTTTATAATGTCGGTTTAATTTACTCTTTTTCTTTATCTCGTTTTAGAACTACAAAAAGATAAAAAGTAAATTACATCGAGATTAATTTACACTGACTAAAAACGGATATGAGTCTTCTTTCTCTTTGTCTCTCTTTTTTGTTTTTCAATAATATTCGTTATTAATATTTTGACTACCGCACAGGCTTTTGTAATCGGTTTCTGGCACCACACTACTATTTTTTATACCTAATAATATTGGTATGACATAATTTTATGATTTTTTTTTAAATATTCATGAAATATATGTGAATATTTTAAATATTTATTGATACGTGCGATGCCTCGAAATCTACATAAATATATATTCAATTGGCCGTATATTATACATCCAAGTGTTAACGTTTGTCCATATTTCTCGTTATAAACGCGCAGCTATTTGTATATTGTCCTTTTTTTTTTCAGTACGACGTGTAATCTGCACAATGAGCAAACAATTCGCAATGTCTCAATGTCATTTGTTTGCCGGTTTCGAGTTTCGCGGCAGCTTGTTGTCGTCTCGCCGTTGCTTCGTATCCTCTCGGATCGGCTGTTATACACACGTATACGTGTGTTATTACGAGAACGGGAATAACTACGGTAATGTTTCGTCGTTAGTTTTCTGTATTCTCCTTAATGGAGGGCAAGCAGAGGGAGAAACTTTCCATCCGCCGTTCTTGTACGTGTCGCCGTCTTTAGTGCTCCGGCGAATAAAACTTGATGACCGCTTACCGCTTATTGGTATATGGCAGACCGAGAGCTAGATCGTTTTAGCCGAGACCGCATTTGGCAACGTGAAGTCGTGATACTTCTCGCTTCGCAACTGCTGATGCCTCTTACTGCAAGTCGTGGCGAAAGGGAAAGGCAAGAAGATGCTGTACCCTCCGCTCGTCGTTTGTGTGTCGTTTCACTGCTTATCCGTTGCATTTTACATACCGATCTCTCGGCTGCCTCTCACACACAATAGTCGCGTCACGATCGTTCAATACAATCGCCCCGCGATTAATCGGCGACGAGGCTCTCTAATCCCAACTCCGAGACCTCGCAAAGCTTTTGACGTGAATCTGTGTCTTTCTGGAGTGCGTGGCACTAAAGCTTAACTAACGCTTGAGAATCGCACTAATACCTCGTCTGACACGACACCATTCTCGGTACGTCTCCTCTCGCGCTCGTCATTCTTATTTGTTCCAGCAAAGTTTCGCGTCGCAGTTGCGACTTGATGTCGATTCGGTGATATTGCACGATTCGAAGCTACATGTCACGATGTTTTCGCTGATTCATTGCGCTTGCGATATGAGTGTCTCCTAAACATTCTCGTTCCGCCGTATACGATTAGGTATACGAAATGTCTCGTGATGTCGTTGCCGCTTTGTTACGTCGCGCGATTCTCGCCGTTCTGTTGCAACACTAATATGTACATTTCTACCATAGAGATTAATTTTTATCTCAATTTAACTTACTTTTTATTTTTTTTTCTAATTTTAAGAATTAGGAAAAAAAACGAAGAGCAAGTTAAACTCATCTTCGCAATATTTCGACATTTTTTCATCATTTAATATGTTGAATAATTTACACTAATTAATTTCAAGGGAACCAAAATGAAAATGACACAACTCCTATAAAAGAAATGAGAATGCTAAATTTATTTTAATAAGAATAATTCAAATTTACTGATACTTACATAAAGAAAAAGAACTAATAGTAAATTCAGATATAATATATTTATTTTAACATTATTTCACAGTGAGAGATGAATTATTTTTACTCAGAATGTTTATTATTTAAACGATCACTGTGTAGTAGCTTCGCTAGACCCACTGTCAGTTCCAAAGGGATAATTGAGTGGGTCCCCAATAGACCCACATCAACTCCGAAGGGTTAATCTACGTAGGTAGAAATGGACCTAAGACTTGCGTGCGTCGAGAACTTCAGATTGCCGAGGTTCCAATACTCGTTTCTGCCAATGTAGATAAACTTGAATCTCGGTTCAATTTACTCTTCATCTTTTTCTAATTCTTAGAATTAGAAGAAGACGAAGTTGGACGGAGATTAAAGTTAATCTACATCGATGAAAACGGACATAAATCATCCGGCTAATCTGAAGTTCCTGGCTATTTAAATAGCATGCAGTAACCAGCAACGGAATCTATTTGGCATGCATATCCCGTAGTATTCCGAAATGATCGACAAGCGGTCTTCGATTGATCTTTGCGCATTCTCATGTGTTTGATTTTGCATTTACGATAAAACGCCACGTACGTCCAAGAGGTAACGAGCTTCTAATGACAGAGAAGGTATCACAATTTCCTTGACGCTCGTTAATTCTCCGATTTGCGACCGTACGGCACAACGTCGTGGGAAACTGACGTCTATTACCAGGAAACTAACTTTATGAATACCACTACAAACGAGCTCGATATTCGTGGTGCTTTATTTTATATAT